GGAAGCTAATGTGGGCATACTTCTCAGGCGAGACGTCTCTCTTTTTGGCTGCCACACCATCGGCAATCGGTCATACGTTCCATTTCCTGAGAAGTCTGATTGGAGTACTAGCTAAGGTAAAATGAAGGAAAGTTATTACGAACCGGATAAAGCTTGGGATTGTGAGGCTTATAATTTCCTCCCCCCCCCTTTAGAAAACAATTAGCACCAGTTCCGATGGACTTTTTCTAATTACAAAATCATAAATAATAACATTAAATATAATAAAAGAACTAGAATCACCTTGGCAAAAATATATTCAGATCTAAATCTATTCAAACCCTCATTCTACTATTACGCACCAAATAGACCAAAACTGCTAAGATAAGTATACCAGGATGATCGGAATAGACCAAACTTCAAATTCCTTATTCAGCAAATTCAAAAAATATCTCACAATTGTACGAAAACGATAGGACTAGCTAAATAGCAACCAAAACCACCACAGACGATGGTGAGAAGTTCAACCGCGTCTGACAGACAAAAACATTGAGGGTAAGCAAACCAGGATGATCAGAAACCAACCAAACTTCACGTTCATTACTCACATTACCTCAAAAATGTCTTACATATGTAGAAAAACGACGGGACTAGCGAAATAGCAAAATAATAAAAAACACTGATGTTAGCGAAAAGCTGAACCACGCCTGACAAGCCAAAACAGCTAAGAAAGCAGATCAGAATAATTGGAAATCGACCAAACTTAATAATTTAATATGCATACCCACCAGTGGTAATGGCGAGAAGCTGAACCGCATCTGAGGAACCATAGTAACGTGGGTAAAGCAAACCAGGAGATCGGAAAGCAACCAAAATTCACGCAGCGGGCCACAAAAATATTTCAGAATTGTCGAAAAACGGCAGGACTAGCTAAATAACAAACAAACCCACTACTTATGATGGTGAGAAGTTGAACCGCGTCTAACATATAAAAATAGCGATAATAAACAGAGCGGGGGGAGGGGAAGTGGCCGCAAAGTTTTAAGGCAAACGTTAAGGCTCATCACTGTAAGGTATAGGTCAGGGTTCGAATGCGCGGCTGTTGGATTCGAACCCGACGTATTTTCAAATGGGCTTTTTTCCAAAAAAATACCGACACCCCAGGAGTTGATTGGACCTTTGCAGTTGCAAACCCCCGTTTTTAACTTATTAATAAATAAAAAAAAATAAAAAACAAACCCGGATGATTGGAACCGACCGGACTACAGGCTGATCGCCGCGCTTCTCTAAAGATAATTAATGTCCCGTTTATCAGAATATTGGCAAAATATCGTCCAAAACCCCTCTGGAGATGGATCCGCTTGGATTACTATGTCAGCTTTGAAATACATTTATTTATCCTTTCCGATTTTGCAAAGCCTGGACTCCATTGAAAGGCAATGTTCAAAAAGGATCGCCGATGGACGGCTCACACTTTTTTTTTCTTGTTAAAACTGCTTTTGAAACAATAACAAATAGCATTTATACATTTATATTCTTAATTTAAGGGGAAACAAACAGTACCTACAGAAATTTAATGTTTTCTTTTCATTTATCTTTACGTGTAATTAGATTGTTACCGATCATCCTGTCTCCCAATCCGTCTGTTCTGATCTTTCAGACCCGTTTCGGTTCTCGCTATCTTCAGTATTGAGTCCGTTAAGTAATTACTACTAGGCTCCTAAAACGCTTATTTCACCAAGGTTTACAAGTTTAGTATTGATCACAGCTTAGAGGAAATTTAACGAAGTTTTCAGTGTATCAACGGATTTGTCCAAAATCCTTTAGTTTTGGAATTATCGTTGTTTATTTGAAGCAAGGTCGTGAAATCTTAAAAAATCAGAAAAAGGGGAATAACTCCGAAACTGTTGAGATTCGGACCATAGTTAATTAGGACTTTTTGGTTCCATTTTGAATGTAGAATCTACTGGCAAATTTGTACCTCGAGTAGTCGAAACACCCTGTGTATTGGTTTTTAAAATTTGATTAACTAATTCTGGCATGGTTATAGTTGTTAATTGTTATTATATTGTTATATATGTTTTTACAATTACTGTAATATCGCCAAATTGACAACTTGTATTATACCTGGTTTAAATTACCTTCAATCTTTTTGTTGTGGTTTACGTAATTTTTCCACGAGTTTAAATTAAAAGTCAATGAATTAAGCCTTGAGTTTAAACAGAAGTACGTATAAAACGGGATGTAATAGTGCCCCGCCACTTCCCCTGTAAATAGCAAATGTAGCTGTGTTTTCATATGTATGTAAATTATGTTAAAATAAACTCTATTAAACCTTTGAAGATGGGAAATGCGCCTGACAGATCAAACCAGCGCAGTTAGGCAGTCAAGAAAAATAATGTACAAAAACGACCAAATTACAGTTGTATCATTTGCAGATTGCAATGAAACAAACTATACGACTACCAAAATATAACTTAAAGCCCCCTTCGAAGATGGGAAAATTTTGCAGTGACAGACAAAAACAGCGATGTTAGGGAGACAAAATGTTAAAAAACTAAGAGACTATCCCTCAGACCCAGAAAAGCATGGCAGGTAAAATATTCAACAATCCAGCACTGAAGATGATGAAATGGAGAAACGTATCTAGCAAATGAAAAAACGAGATTGGCGAGACAAGAATGTTCAAAAATGACCTAACTATACTTTCATAATCTCACAAACTTCTCAGGAGGGAATGTCACCAAAAAAACCTTGAAAAACATGTTTACTGAGTTTTAACCATACCATAACCAGCCACACTGTTGAAAAGAGATTTTCAAAAGTGGTTCGAGAGTCCTCACGAACCGGATATAAATATTGAGTAAGTTGTGTAGGGAACTTTTATCGTTGTCGTGCTTACGCATTTCAAGAAAAAAAGATTGTCGAATACGTAACGTCCTCTCGTGTAAACAAGGGTAGCAGATTCCATAAACGTTTTTCCCCCTTCGTGTATGAAAGCCGGGCTCCCCCGTTGTTAATAATTTCTGGCCTCTTCGGCATTCCTGGAGGGCGGTGTCCCTCGTCGGACGAATGGGCTCCTGGCGATGGCAAGGCCCGTAATATTCCCGGCGGGACTGATGATTAACAGTGGAAACCAGGTTGATTCGTTTGTCTTCCCTCTGGACGGCATTTTTGATCTCGAGGTCATTTCCGATTTTTTCTACCGTTGTCGCAAAACCCGAAGAACTATGGTTTGATAAATATCATGTGCTTTTGTAAGCTTTGCAAACTTCGGATATAGATTAATTATATTAAGCTTGTTTAATTAAGCAAAACGGGCCCAGGTTAAACAAATCCCCCCTCGATTAATTACGTGGACAAAATTTATAACGCTCCTTTAGTAAAAGCGGTGTGCAATTATCTCAAAATTATACTCACTGGATTAATTAAAAATATATTTTTCTCATTCCATTATTTGAAATATATTTAAGACTAATTGCCAATTAAGGAATGTCTATTCTTCTTATGACAAGGATTTACTTGAAAAAAATTTTACACAACCAGCAATTTCATAGCCAAAATTAAATTAGTAATTGTTAAGCAGTTGAAAGGAGTAAGTTAAAGACCGTCGGGTTAGCCAACAAGCATAATGGCCATAATGATTAACTAGGTCCCGTTATCGCTACCAGGTAGTTAGTTGCCTGCCGTACGGGTTGCCGATACCATCGCCTTTGAAGGACTTAGGAGTTGATTCCATTGTAGTTGTAAGTTGTCACAGAATAAGCAATATTTAATCAATTAACGTATTCCTTGAAAAATTTCAACTAACAAAACCTAAGAAATCATATTAATCCATATATGTTTAGCGGTCATAATTGGCCATATTAATTATTTCAATTAATTATTCTTTTTATCTAAGATTTAAAAAGTTAGTGTCATGAGCGGATTCGCACCCACGATCTTCGGCTAGATATGCCGATGCTCTCTAACCACATGAGCTGACGTGACTTCGATCCACTCGGACAACTCCTCATTTCAACCTACTTGTAACCCTTCGAATTTTCCCTCTTTTTGTCATTTTTCAAATGTCATGTAATCAGGATTCGATTCCCAGCGACTCATGAAGTGGCCACGGTTAATACTTCTTTAATTATTATATTAATCTATATATATGTTAAGAGGTCATAATTGACCTTATGTAGAAATCGTGACATTCGGTCGGTCTGGTGTGATGTAGGTTTAGAAAAACATTTTCTTTATCGTTCCAACGTTTCGATCGTTAAGATCATCATCAACGCCTGGGATTTATAAACATTGTTTAAATTATATAAACGAATTTATACAGTGATGTATACAACATAGAAATTTTAGTTTTATTCAAAGTATTTGTACTCACTCAAAATGTGTTTTCTGTGTACATGTGTCACTGTTGGGTGTCGTGTTGAGAGTAATGAGATATTAATGTTTTATGTTTATATAATATGTTTGGCTAAGTTCCGATATTCGGATAAGATCATTCCCGAATGGGATTTTAAAGTCTTTATGAATCATTTCATTGACGACGTAGAAAGAGTGTTGAGGATTCGGCTAAGAACTTTGGATGGAAAGGATGAATTTGTTGGACTTGCAGCCCGAGCCTCAAATCGGTCTGATGAGTATTTTATAGGCAGTTAGTTTGTATGTATGCTTAGTATTGATTTTGGTCCCAGTGGGTATCTAAAAAGTCAATTCTTTTTTTCTTATCTTTTTAATCTTATATGATCTTATAAGCGGAGTAAAGCCCAGGGTAGCGGACTTGGTTGAAGGTATTACCTTGTTGTTGATGTACTGGTTGGGCAGGTCTGACGTTTGAGCGTAAAAGGTACGTATTGGCTTTTTTTCTTCGTTCAACCTGAACATCCACCGAGTGCAATAGTCGGTAATGATATAAAAAAAGGTTTTGCCTACATGATTTTGCTGAACATTTTGTTTCAAAGGATGTTACCAACCGTTTTGTTCTATTCTAAAAACACAGATTGGTATAAACTAATGTTTTAATGCTTTTGATTTCAGGGAAGATGCGCGAGAAATCGGATTTACCGTCATCGTGGACATGAGGGGTTCCACATCCACGTGGACGTCAGTCAAGCCGATACTCAAAGTCCTCCACGACCACTTTCCCTCGGCTGTCCACGCCGTCTACATAATCAAGCCGGACAACTTCTGGCAGAAGCAGAGGACTTCGCTCGGCTCGCATAAGTACAAGTTTGAGGTGAGTTCGAAATGGAAATTCCCAGCATCCCGATCGGGCGGCACAAAACTAACCCGGGTTAAAGAGTTTTCCCCTGAACGCTTTACTGTGCTTCGCTGTTGAGTGGTGGATAAGAAATGTTGGAAGGATGATTTACAACCCCTGACGGGAAAGCTTCCTTACATACCGGACGCCCTTTACATATTTATTTCTCGGGATATGATGACATCAACGACTTTCTTGTTATAAATCCTTATATAAATTATTTTACTTACTAATGATTCAGTGTATTCAGTACGCGTGGATTGTTGGCCTAATTAAACAGGAATTTGGACAATTAGTTGGTTATCCACGCCACTGACGCCATTTTATAAAATAATGAATATTCCAAAAAAAGTACATTTCCTGTTACTCTAAAACTTAAAATTTTTTCCATTTTTAATTTATAAAAGTTAAAAAATCGTGTGAAAATACGTTTTAGCGAATATTTTTCAGCCCATGAAAAGGGTTTGGGCGTCCTATGGAAAAGAGGCGAGTGTGAAGCAATATCTCGCGCCAATGAGTTTGGAGGTGTTCAATCATTGCTGCCAGCAGGAAAAAGTGACGCTTGCAAAAATCCAATAAAACTGCGACCAACGTGTTCTAGATAAGAAACACGACGTTCAACCTTTTTCCGTATACACAGTCTGCCCCAAGTTACAACATGAAAATGCAGATTGTTTAACTTTTTACATAGACAAGAGAACTTTGGACCTATTACAAAAATCCTTATGATGAAAACATTTTTAATCAACTGCTGGAAAATATCCTGAATGAAATCCTGTGGGAAAAGACGTTCCTGAAAAAGGGCAAATGGTAAATTAGTGCTTCGGTTGATGTAAAGCTTTCACTTTGAGCTTTTTCATAATTTGGATTTAGATTTGTATGAGCTCTAATACGCACATATTCGTACATACAGACATGTGCCGAGTTGAGCCTATTCGCAATTCCAACTTTTTTTATTTACAGTAAACTGCCGGCAGACTCGAGAATCACCCAGTCTTATCCGTCCAGCCACAGAGGTTAGGATAGGGGGGTGCTGTCAACAGCCATTCATTTAATTAGGGTGGCGGAGTACTCAATCCTCCTTCGCCCTTTACTCATATTATACAACTAACCTAATTGAGGGTCGAAGGGTACTCGATATTATGCCGTAGACCCTCTCACATCACACATTTACGCTAATAAATACATTCACTTTCAATAGACCTTTACACATATTACAAATCTAACCTAATTGAGGGTCAATGAGGTACTCTATATTCTGCCATCGACCATCCCACCTCACACATTCACGCTAATAAATGCATTCACTATTAACAGAACCTTTACACATATTATCAACTAACCTAATTCCAAGCAGTTATTCCGGGGCTATACTCTGTCTACAAAAGTAAATTAACTCCCATCTTACAACTGGACTATCCTAAGACTATGACCACAACGTTAACGATGTATCTAAAAGATTACTCTGGCTATCCACCACAAATCGCGGACAAACTTTTTATAGCAGACATAAACGAGGCACTACCTACCACTACCACTTCCACTTGATTTTCACTGATGGTTCGATCATAGGGGAAAGTAGGCTGCGCGTATTACGATCCGGCGTTGATGATTAAAAGAAAGATAGCATTGCCCAGTCAAGTCTCTATTTTTACTGCCGAAAAGTTTGCGCTAATCAGGGCCCTCGATCACGCAGCTACCTTGGATGGAACAAGCTTCGGCATCATAACCGACAGTATGAGTTCGATCAAGCAGATTGAGCGGTTCCACCCAAACACAAAGTGCGTCCATTTACTGACTGAAATCATAAATTTGATACACAATCTCGAGTCCTCGCGGAAGAGAGTGGTTTTTTGTAGGAGCCGGGGACATTGCGGAATCTGTGGTAATGAAGTGGTCGATCAACTAGCCAAACAAGCAGCTGTGCACGGGGAATGCCATGATATCAAAATGACCAAAACAGACGCTAAGCGTCTTTTGAACAAACAATGGTTGGAAGACTGGCGTGCATGTGGTACTAGAGAGGAGCGGCGGGAAGAGTGTATAAATCTCTTTTCCCCCAGCTACGCCCAAACGCATGGTTCAGTACAATAAAATGTGGCAGCAAAAGAATTTTTTCGGTAATATCCCGGATCCGGACGGATCACTACATATGTGAAACGTACTTGCACAGAATAAACGCCAGAGACTCGGCAAACTGCGCCACGTGTGATGAACCAGAAAACATCAAACACATAGTCTTTGACTGCCCGGAATACGAAGAAATTAGGGAAGTCCTCTTCGACGAACTGTACCAGACTACCAGCTGAGGGAGGTTACCAAATCTCTCAGCTGGGAGAGTTTACTTGTGTCGGAAAGGGTCGAGGCCTTCACATTGATTTATGCATTCTTCCAGGACTGCGATGTTACCATATGAAATGAGAATTTATTTTTTTAAGTTTATTTGTTTATATATTTATTTATTAAGCATATATTATTTATTATTGCATATATTATTTATATTTATTTATTAAGTAATTTATCTGTGATATTCCTGTATTGTGTATATTTTTACTCGGACGATTGCTGTATGTCCTAAGGCAAAGCTAAAAAAAAAAAAAAAAAAAAAACTAATTGAGGGCCAATGGGATACTCTATATACTCTATTTTTCATAATGTAACCTGTAACTCTCAACGACAAGACAAAGCCATTTTACGTCATTGGACCTGGAAGAGGCCAGCGTCTCTCCTCGTTTTACATATAGTTGTTTTTATTATTATTAAGGAGAGCGCTGATAACTTTGACCATCCGCGTCCTTCCAGCCCGATACAACAGCTTTCCTGCTCTACATGCCATTTCCTGTAGACCTTATATCTTCTAATGCAGTGCACGCGTCGAGATGTAGTGCAGGGTTTCACAGAAAATTTCAACATCGAGGTTATATGTACCCTCGGACTCTGATGTTGAATTTTTTTTTTTTTTTTTAAATTTCGGGTGCTAAAGCTGGGACTTTAGTTCGAACCCCGGGACCTTTACCATTCAATGAGTAGCCTCAGGGTTGTACTCACCTTACTGACGATACAACCCGTCCTAGCAGTTCCATCTTTACTCGCTATGTTAGACCACGCCAGATATCCACAAGTATAAGTACACAATCCATCCTCGCACTCTTATCGGAATGAATTATTTATTACTTATCTTCTTTTTAGACCCATTCATTTGGGCCAAAACTAACGATGAAATATCTCAGCTGTTCATTCCACATACAAACATGACCAGAGGCCAAGTCCTGCAAAAACTTGATATCCTCTCCCATTCTCCCTATTATCAAAATACTTCGCGGTGAAGTAAAAGATCATCCTCTACCTTCCCAGAAACACTAATCGTCCAGCTTTCTAATTCACCTTCCTTCGCAAATGCCATAGTACTACTTACTACCATATATAATGCTATCCTTCGTACCACTCACTTCTTTATCCTGCGGAAATTCTCTTTCATCCTTGTTATCCAAAAACCTAAAAAGACATGATTTACCCCTCGAACTATCCCTTAAATCCCATAACTATGACTTTTGAATTTACTCCTATTGACCATCATTTGGCTTCTTACCGCTCGGTAGCCTTCCCTCAACATTCTAACATACTCAGAATGTACTTGAAAATCTACTCGTATCCATCCTGCAAGAAATCCAATCCAGAGCCAATATTAGGACAAACCACCAAATTGTCTTCCCTAATTACCACTCCACAATCCACCAAATTCGTAGTGTTGTAGATATCCTCGCATCGTTGTAGATATCCTGTATTGAAGTCTTTCTAGACATTTCCTAGGCGAATGATCACTGCTGAAAGTTAAATACTTCCCTACCTCGACCTAAAATCCTTCCTATCTGATCGGTTCTTCCACTTTAACTAGGAAATCTCAATCTCTCCGATCCATTCTATCCTCTCGGTTTTTTTACTTTTCAGCACTCACTCAGCGGACGTCTCTCAACACTCTAATACACACACCTTTATCTTTGCTGACTATACAGCAATCCTCTCAATAATCGATCCCTTCAATACCACCTCCTTGCGACAACTTCTTATGAAATGCTGTGACACGTCTTCTCAAATACAAATACAGATTCCATCCTCTTAAAGGCTGTGACCTGGGTCAAAACTTACGGCCAAATGACTGTTCGGTATCTAGCAAGTCTCGTACTTATCCTCAGGAAAGTACTCGAGATGGTATTCCAATCATGCAAGCAATTCAATCCAGAACAACGTTATTCCTACCATAAAATTGGTTTCCTTAATTACCTCCCCAAAATCTACCAAATTCATTGTGTTGTAGATGTCATTGCAACGTACCTAGAGCTTTCAGTTATTTTGTAATCAATAGTAAACCTGCCCCATGGTATTTTCCTGACGGTGATACCTTCTTTTTGGATGAAAAATTTGTACAACAGAAACAAAATAGTGATTTAAAATCAAACACTGTCTTTAATAAGGACTACTACGGCAGAAAAATTGTTTTATGAAAAAATAAATGAGGCAGGTTCAATTTTAGCTCACAATTTATACGAAAAAGCAACCTGATTTTTTTGTTTGATTTCTTTAACAATGTTACAACCAATAATAATGGCAGGAAGGTAATCGATCAGAAGGAAAAGTTGTGTTTAAGACTCCTACGGATATGGTCGTTCGTTCTCTTATGTCACTTACCCGATTAATTGTGAATCGCCACTTACACGAGTTAGGAAAGAGAAAAAGGCCACTCGGGAAAGTTCCACATGAACTTAATCGAGGAAAGTTGAGAGTGGGCGGGATAAAATCAAGGTATTGTTCCATTTTCTTGAATGGACAAATGTCATTACTTAAGGTAACCCGTTGTTTTAGCGTATATACAAAGCCGTTTATTCTGTGAATTGATGTCGTTTATCTGTCGATGTACAACACCCAGTTTAGGTTTAGCGCAGCGATGGCGAACACTAACAAAGAGGTTGAGCGATTTAATAGCTGACACTGCCGTAAGCAACACGGAGACACCACATTACCAAATACTATCCAACGGTAAAACAAAAAATAAGCTTTGCTAAACTGCTTCAACAGCTTTATTTCGTGTAAGTAGAGAAAGAGCTATTGAGAGGAAAGTGTTGCTTGTGGCTCGTCAAGGCTAATTGTTCCGTTAGTGATAACTCGATGACAAATTTGACTTAATTCGGTTGAACCCTTTTTTAATAGAAGGTAGTTGCTGTTCATTGGCTGCTGTATGAACTGTACAGTGGTAAAACAAAAAGACAGATTTTTCAAAGTACTTTCAGGATATCTGTCAGATGCGATTCAACTTGTATCCATCTTCTGTGGAAGGTCTGTGTCTTTGAAAAGTCCACAAATCCACCACTGGCGATAGCCAAAAGACCACACTACAGAAGAAAATATTTCAGTACATCTTTGGTCAAATTCTTTTTGCAAAACACAAACTCCATAGTTTAGAGACTATCGTACTGTTGAGCACCCTCGAGGCGGTTTGTCTGAGACAGATAGTTGTTGAGCGCTTGTGTTGATGTCAAGTAACGAGATTAAGATCTGATGTCTGCTTGCTCGATTCGTGATGAGAACTCGACGAGTAAACCGGTAGAGCCATTAAATTGTGGAGACTGGCGTAAGCTACACGAAAACACCACAATACAATGGATTATCCAATGGTAAAACAAAACCAAAGGTTTGCTAAACTGCTTCAAATTCTCAGGATTATTCTCATCTGTCAGACGCGATTCCAAATTCTCCATACATTCAGTCTTTTAGAAGTTCACGAATCCTCCACTGATGATAGCCAGACGATCAAACTACTTTGTAGTCATGATTCTTTTTGCAAAGAACACAACTCTATACTACAGTATTTGCCATACTGTTAGCCGTGGTCTCTCGTGGCGGTATCGCTGTGCCAGATCGCTGTTGAGTGCTTGTGTTGATACAAAGTAAGGCTCGGGAAGGATCGTCACTTTCCCAGACATCAGAACCAACGACTTGCTGGTCTGGCTGTCTGGCTTGCTCAATTAGTGATGAGAACTTCTCGACGAATCTAACATTAACCGGTTGAGCCCTTGCTTAATAAGTGCTATGTGTTTATTGGTTGCTGTATGGAAAGAGGAAGCATTGTCGAAGTAGTGGTGACTTTATACAATACCAATGACTATCCAACGTTGAAACAAAAAGAAAACCTGCTTTAACAGCTTGATCTTCTATATATATTCTATATTGAATATACTATCTGCCTTTTGTTGCCAGGGTATTGTCAAACAAGGGCAGGTGGGTAAGGGTGATCGTAAACCGAACAAGTCATAGGTTCCTCGCAGCCATCATTTTTACCATTCAGGACTTGTGTAATCACAGTAGTTTGGTCAATCCTATCTTACTATCTTCAGGGGTGGTTTTTTGTGGAGATATGATCGTGTTGTTCAGCCTATAGAACGATAAGAAAACAAACCTTTCCAAACAGGTTTTAATATCTTGAACTCGGATCATTCTGCTCCTATTGGTTTTGCCTTTCAGACACGTTTTGCATTTTGTTCTTCAATGTTTGCCTGTGCCTTGTCAAACAAAACAAACAAGGACATTCTCAGTTGATCGGAAAACGAACAATTCACAGGTTTCTCGCAGATTTTTAACATTCAGTTCACATAAATGCTTCTTTACTATCAGTCACGTTTCACAGTGTGGAAGAGTTACCCGCAGGCAGTCACTATACAACTGTTGTGGTGGTAAATGTAAAATACCAAGCTATTAGTTTTATAGTTGAAGATTTTCGTATGGAAATGGAAAAATTCTATTAATTGGGTTTTATTTTTAGGCGAGGGTGCTTATTTTCTAATTTATAGCCTTATAATCCGAGTTCGTGTATATGCGTGCGTGTGTGTGTGTCACATTTTATTTGGGGCACATACAGAGAGATTACATTTTATACCCTTTTATCAGCCTTCGAGTTATTAAAGACGGCGGTTTATTTAATTAAAATTTAAAGTTTTGTACTTACTTCCCATTGTTCAAACAGTAAGTTGAAACTTTTAATTAACCCTTTGCTTTTCTCCAGGCAGTTTACTAACTCCTGCTTTTTCCCTAATCGTTTGCGTCAACAACTCGCCGACACGTCATACACATTGTTCCACCCATCATAAAGTGTGGCCTGTTTTTTTTTTCATTTCCACGGGTTTTTAAAATATTTTTGTTCAGAGATTTAATGTTTTGTCTGTTTTGCAGGTGAACATGATAAGCATGGAAGGGCTGCCGAAAATCGTCGACTCTTCGCAGCTGACTTCGGACCTCGAGGGTACACTCCACTACGACCATTCACAGTGGATAGACATGAGGCTGGTAGGGTACAATGTAAACTATTAATCCACTTTTTGTCAACCATCGATTTTTCCTTCTCAAGACGAGATAAGAATGCAAATTGAAAATTAAATTCATTCCTTTTTCAGTCAATAGAGAGCGGAAACTTAAAACAGAGATATAACACTTTTTCACAATTCAGACAACTCTCTTAAAGTAGAATAAAATTTAATTAAATAAACCTGCATAATCTCGAAGTTGTAAGGAAGCCAGCTAATCAGGTTAACCTTCTTTTAGTCAAATAACGTCGGTTTATTTGTGAATAAACAGCGAGATGATGCGGGCCAGAAGTTGTATCTGGCTCAATTCAACTATCTATCCAAAACAATTTACAACTTTCAAATGATTGTTTTAAGGTTTAAGTTTTAATTATGTTTCGAACTTGTAACTTCAAAATTTGAAGGATGAGTTTTTCGTTTGTCTATTTTAAATTAAATATGAAGGGAAACTTGGCGGCTATAGTTTTGTTTTAAACCTTTTTGGCCTAATTTGTCTTAAAGCAAGAAGAAATTTAGCAATTTTGTGAAGGAAAAAAGTGGGAATTCCCGTGAGTTTAGATTGGCGCGAAATAAATCCGTGTTGCCAATGCACGGGCAATGACAATGAAGGAAAACTGAACCTGGACTAAACTCATGGGATTAGCGTTGATCAAGAAAGGGTTAACATAATTTTTATTATCTCCCTTGCATGATATAATGAAATTGACTGCCGGTGTTTTAAAATGGATTGATTCAGTGGGCTTCGTGCTATCTGCCGGTTCGATTAGATACTGCAAACCACCAACTTTTATCGCATAGCCTCAGCCAACATGCATCCCGTCGGCTTTTTGTTTTATTTTTCTTCTTTCTTTTTGACAGGCCGTTGAAGACTTCATGTGGCAGGCATCCGACCTCCTGGACAGGTTAGACGACCTGCAGGAAGACCTGTCGCGAAACGACTTCGGCGAAGACGTCGCCGGTGCTAAGCACGGCCTCGATATGCACGCCGACATGAAGAAGCGCATCATGAAAACGCCCGTCGAAGAGATCGACAAGTTCGGCCAACGGCTTCTCCAGCGGTAAGCACCAATAAATTTTATTGTGTAATTTTACAACAGCCATAATTTATTCATTTTACCTGAAAAAGGTTCTAAAATGTGCGGAGAAAGTTTGGTTTATCATGTGTTTTATTTTCTTTAGTATGGTCGGTTCCTATCATCTTGGTCTGCCAGTGCTCGCTGGTCTACACATTTCACCGTGCTCAATAGACGGTTTTTAGACTTCTTGAGCCACTGAACATGACTAGAAGTCGAAATGTGTCTGACAAAGAATGTGGGGAGGGTAGATTGGCCAGGATATCGTAATAAACAAACTATGGTTCTCACAATAGTACAAAAAGGACGAATGACATAAAAAAAGCACCACTGAAGATAGTGAAAACGACTAACAACAAAGCAGCTAGTATACACGAGCCTTGAATCTTAAAAATGAAGAGTAAGAAGTATGTATGGCTGCACACAGAGAGTCCGCGGCACTGAACATCTCCGAAGCAGCATTGGTCCTCCGGGCCGCTACACGACCCCAGTCACTTAGTAGTTTTAACCTGTTTTGGCTTTTCGTCATCTTCAGTGATCTATGGTGTTCTATTTTGCCAGTCTTTTGCACTAATGTGGGGTTCGTGTTGATTTCTTTGGCGTGATGAGCCTAGTTTTGTCGTTTCCAATCATCCAAGTCCGCAAGACGCAAAACAAGTCTGACAGACAAAACCAAAAGACCAGGATAATCTTAAGATCAAGCTGTTAAATCAGTAGAAACTGTTTCTTTTTATTTTGCCGTTGGTAGTCCATGGTATTGTATAAGTCACCAATACTTCAGCAATGCTGTCCAGACAGCAGTCAATGTTCTTGTTTAAAATCAGGAACTCAACCGGCTTTAGTCATGCTCGTGGAGTTTTTATCGCTAATGGACCGTGTAGTTATCGCAAGTTACAAGCAACAGAGTCCTGACAATCGATCACTCGACAGCCGAGTACAGCAGTGCGAGGCCATACGCTTTGTATTCGACATCAATACAACTTTCTCAACAATCGTACGGCTCATCTACACCCACCACAGGCTCTCACATCAGAGCTTGGTCTTGCACTCAAGCAAAGTGGCTCGCATCATTCCTCACTACGAGAGTCCACAGCGCTAAATACCACCCTTCTTAACTACACGACCCTGGTCACTACAGTATGTTTAGCTACAACGCAGTATTGGCCCTGCTCAGTTGGTCCGTTCCTGGACACTAAAGTGAGTGTTTCTTCTTTTCGTCATTGTCAATGTCTCGTCTGTTATACAATTCTTAGGTTCTTGTTAACTTCTGTGGGGTGAGGAACATGAAGTTTAGTCATTTCTGATCAACCGGTCTACCCTCGCTGTTTAGCTGTCATATGCATTTTTTAGCAATTCGCTATCTTTAGTGGAAGGATTGTTGGCCGTTTTGCCACATATTTCGTTTTTTTATAATAGTGAGATTTTCTTAGACGTGTGTGGAGTTACAAACCTATAGTTTGGAGGTCTCTATTTTCCATGATGATTTCCACCGGGTAGCAGTAGAGGATTGTGTTTTAAGCTACGGCTTCGGATGCTGCAAGAAGCTCGCAGTGTCAGCTAATGAGCAGGGGCTTAATAGGCTTTATTCAGACTTGTCGAAGAGTTTATATCAGTAATGGAGCAGGCAGTCATCACAAGGCCAAAAGCAAGAAGGTTCTAAGGTTCTCTCAACAACCAGCTCTTACAGCTACCGAAAGCTCCTTTCTCGATAACACGAGCATTCTCTGCAATCATCGTTTAGACTGTGTGAACGTCATCAACTAAAACTTTTCCTTCTTGTGGGCTATTAACAAAGTCAACAAAACAGTCTAGTATATAGTAGACTCTTAATCTAGCGACTTGTGGTCGTGTTCTTCAATTTTGCTTATCTATTGGGGAAGTGAACAATCAATTGAACATTTCTGTCATGAAATTGACCAAATTTGACAAAGAAAAGTATTTACCCAGTTCCTTGGGTTCCCTCACATTCTGAATAAGAAGCTTTGCTATGATATCCAAGCACATTCTCTATATTTGCCTGATCTTTCCTTACTGACTGCTATATATTTTTTACTGCTGGATATTATTTGAAAAAAAAAAAACTGTTAGCAAATAAATCAGACATTTTTCTTTATAAAGAAATGTGGTAAGTTATTTTGAATAAAATAAATTTTATTGGTTAATCTTTTATTTACTTCTGGTCCTCCTTCTATTTATAAGCTAAAGCTTAACGACAAGTAACTCGTTTAAGCAAATTAATAATCAATCAATGTAACAACAACACAAACTAACTTCTAATTAAGATTGATATTTGGCTAGGGGTTTATTGCAAGTTGAGGATGTTTACTTCTTCCAGGCTCCTGACTGATGGCATGAATTAATTAATTTCCGGCATATTAATTATCATAGATAACCCGATGATACAAGAGAATACACGAAGTGATTGACTTTATAATTTTTGTCGACTTTTGGTTAAAAATCTAGCCTGTATGGCAGAAGAACAAAAATAATTTTTAAATAATTAAGGAATATCCTGGATATTGGAATCCAATTGGGTCGAATCAAGTTGGCTGAAAGTGGAAAGCATATCCAAATATGGCGTAAAGGAAAATTGTTTTCAGAATAAAAAGCGAAACTTGGAGGACTAGAGAGGATTAGCTATTTACCAACTCTCGTCATTGAAATATCTACATGAATATTATATGAATAACAACCAAATTCATTTCAAACAAAAAATAATGCAACCACATCCACTCTTTACATGTGTGTTTGAATTATTGGTTACGTAGTTATAATTAAAAAAGAAAATCCAACACAAAATTATTTTATTTTGTGACTGCAACGTGGAAGAAATAGTGTTATAATCCGACACCACGTATATTCTAATGTTTGAAGTTATAACGCAGAAATGACGAATTGTATCCCACGAGGGAGGAAGAAAAGTGAAATATCAGCGTGTGCGATGTCCATCCATCATCAGCATGACGTTCACGCCTGCAGGATAAACTTGATCAAAAGCTTTCTGGAACAAAGCCACCACCTGTATTCTGGCCCATCCGGAGACAAAAACTTTTATTCGAAATGCGACAAATGCGGATGATAATACAAATCAACTGAATGAATAATGTAGACTTCGTCGAAGTCCGTTCGGCTTTCGTCCGAGTAAAAATTAACATTTGAGAGATTTCGTGCTTAGATCTGAGGGTGATGAACTAACAGTTTTCTGTCTACTACCCTCCCTTAGGTCTGTCAGGTGTGTTTTTATTTCTCACCATTTCAATGATAATTATGTACCTTGTTGAAGTCCACAAATTTACCACTGGAGACCACAGGAACAAACTACAGAAGCAAATATGTCGGTACAAAACAACCAAACTTCTTTGTCAGAGCTCTTTTTGAAAAACACCAAGCTTTATATGACCGTGGTCGTGTAGATGTTAATTTGTATTTTGTTATTGTTTATTGTTCTAAAAACCTTCTAGCTTTTCGGATTGAGTTAAGTCATGGCAGTCCTTGAGGAGGTATCCTTCTTTACTAGGAAAGAAACCTGGATGAACTCAACTGTACTAAGATTCTATTTTGGCATATGACCACGTTATGATGACCAATCGACAGCTAATCCTGCTCGGCGTAGATAATCATACAGGACCCAATTTTCTTTATTTGCATGTTTTGGCCTACATAAGGGCATAGGTTTCAGCTGCTGATTTTCATTCTGTATTGCAGCATGTCGGACATTGGCAAGCAACCGTTCCCTGTTAACCAGTGTCAGCTGTTGTTTGGTCAAATTTAGTTAGGATTAATACATTTCCGGACAATTTGTCGTTGAGTTGATTGATTCCCAAATCGGTGGAATTACATGAAATGGTGGAATGAAATGGCTTATTTTTTGACCTAGCACAAATGTCTTGATATTTCAGCAGGTGACGTCGATTCATCACTAGTTCCGACTTTTTTTGTTTTTTACTTTTCCGTTTTTAAATATAGAAACCGTTCTACTAGTACCAAGCTGTACGAATTCTGACTCGGTTTGGTGGGAATTTCCAAAGCTTTCTTGTAAAATTTCACATAGATTTATGTTAAAAATCTTCCTAGATGGTTATCATAGGTCGTTTCTCCAGAACTAACTAAACTTCTAAGTGTAACTAAAAGCTTAAAATACGTTTATCAAACTTTTCTGTGAAAAAAGTAAAGGGCATTGTAAAGGTAAACGCATTTGATGTTTAGCAGACCTTTATAACTGGTCCGGCCTCTCAACTGCCCTAAAAAGCTCGAATTGATTGTCCAGTAAAGGGAAGCCGGGCAATTTTATATACCCCGAGATTACCAGTGGAAGGTACTTCCTTGCCTTTCTACAAACTGTAAAGTCTATAGTGGATATAATGTAACTTATTCCTAGTTATAAGTTGTTATACATTACATCCTCCAAGTGATTCAAAGGAATTTTTTGCGGGATCCACAAAGAGTCTCTTTAATAATACAATATGAAAGAAGACTTTGTTTAATGATAGTAATGAACACAACAATTAAAATAACTATGCCAAGAGAAGCTGCATTTTATACGGAATTTTCCATGTTTTATTGATAAAACTTCAGCCTATTTTACTGTGAAACTTCAATTTTGTCAGAGGAGACCGATTTTCCTTTGATCAGTCGAATTTGGTGAAGATAGCTAAAATCCTAGGAAAAAGTGAAAGACTTTTGCCCAATTTCACTAGATATCTTTAAGATAAGGTCCATCCTCTTGAAGGACTCCCTTCGTCTTTGCACGTCTCCTCGAATACATCACTCTTGCTATATCTCTAGTGGCTTAACGCGGATTTTTTCCTGTGAAGTTATAATTTGGCTGGGTTTACTTTTCTGTACTTGGCAAATCACCTACTTATTTTGTTTCTTTCATGTCCTATTTTGCCATTTATTTACTTTTCTTGTCCTCAATTCTCTTCTTCATTCTCTTTGTTTTCCTTCTATCTCATTTCCGTTGGATGTAAGCTTGATTCTTGATAATCTTTGACCGTATCTTACTCTCCGTCCTCCTAAGGATAAGAATAAGGATAAAAGAGGCGGCCACAAGGTCTTTGTATCTCGACTCGAGATCTTTTGTGCTCCCCTATTTTTGTTAACTCTTTAGCCAGCTTCAAGTTGTTAATCAACCTCCACAGCCTTGCCAGCGGCTCCTTAGTGTAGGATCTTGCTTGTGGTTTTACCTGTCCTAGTTGCAAGAACCTGCACCTACCTTCACAGAATCATAAAATGTGTTCTGCGGTCTCCTACACTTCCTGGCACAGTGTTTCTTCTGTCTGCATTCCTATCCGGTGCATGCGCTTTCTTAAGTTGCAGTGCCCTTAAGGATTACGAATCCTGGTTCGGTTGCGGTTGCCTTCCCGTTCCTTTGTAAGTTTTGCGGATAGCCCTTCTATGAATCTCTTCGCATGCCACATCGTGTGGTATTGTTCCACCAGATTTTGAAATTACGGATCCATTTTAAGATGTAACCTCTTTTGTGACAAGGTGCTAAGCGCACAGTAGGGTTCAGGACCTAGAGACCATTTTGGCGCCCTCTTTGGCTAATGCTAGTGTCAGGTCATTAGTGTCGCTGATTCCGTCAGGGCCTCCATATAGTTCCAAACACTCCTCCTAGTTTCCTACACCTCGCTTGAGGCCTTTAGTGTTTATCTGTGTGTCAGAGAAAATGGCCATCTTTCGGGAATGTATCTATCTTAGGAATCTATCCTAACCTTTTTATTTCTCTGACTATTCCTTTTCAATTGCTATGATTTCAGACTGGAAAACTGTTGCATATTTTCATAGGTTTACCGTCAGTTCGATCGTTGGATTCATCCCGAAGACTCCAGCCCCCGTGCCCTTGTCCGTTTTTGAGCCGTCAGTGTACCAGTAGGAGTTCGTCTTTAGCGTTGTTCCTTTGGCCCATTCTTCCCGTTCTGGTATTAGTACCATGTACTTTTCAGTAAAATTGTAATTTGGAATTAGTGGTATCGATTGGCATGCCTAATATCGCGTCCCGTCCCTCCTAACTCGAGTCTTTCATTCTTTCTAACACACACACACACACACACACACACACCCACCACACCACACCACACCACAAACGCGCGCGCGCGCGTAAATATTAATTTACTTACGCAATAAATTATTAAAATCATTTAGAAGTTTGAATTTACGGCTTTTCCTTGACAGCGGGATCAAGATGTCTAAAGTTTGCCGAGTTTCCAGTACCATGAAGGGGCGGTGACCAGCGAGCGATGGCCACTTGTGCTTAAGTGTGACGGGGCAAGTTCAATTAGAAACTTTATTAACTCGCACCAATTATAGGACCCACTCTGTTTCAATTGCGGGCCGGGTAATTGCTTTATACGAAAGGCGAATAGCGGTAAAACTCATTTTTGACTTAGACAAAGGGCCGGAGGATCTTGTAAACTCGGATAATCACGTTTGACACAGTCAGACAAGATTAGGTCAAAGAAATTCGAATTATTTTGGCCGCCGGGATAAAAGTTGGTTCGGTTATATTCTGTAAGCCAGGTTGTCAGGTTTATTTTGTAAAAGCTTTTTTCATAAAAGAAAGGACATTCTTTTCTTCCTTGTACGAAATACGTTCTGTTTGTTATTTTGATATAGAAGTATGACAATGAAAATCATTCGGTCATGTGTTATACAGAAGTAGGTCCGATATAACACATTCCTTAAACGGGGGCTGATTATTTGACCCTGGAAACATCCCTTGCAACAGATCACCAAGGCACATGCTATCGATGTTTGTGATTAAGAGAGGTTGTTCTGACAAAATTCTCATAAGATCAGACTGTCAAGCAAAAAAAAAAAAAAAAAAAAAAAACATATATATATATATATATATAGTTTGTGAATACTTCAAAAACCTGCAAAATCAGGGAAACATAACAACCCAAAAATATCAAGGCATAAAGGAATTTCGGGTAATGAAAAAGCATACAAACTGGCAAGAATAAGGATCTCCAATACCTATAATTTGGATAACAAGATCAAACATAGACTCCTTCATCTCATAACGGGTCCACACAAAACAAATGAATAAACTGACAAAACTCTAGAGGTACCAGTCACAGTAAACTCATGGTAGTTAAAACTGACAAACACTAGCATCTGAGAAAGCACCTACACAACATGAGTATATCCAATGCTAACCCTTGTAGGTTATGCAAGGAAGGAAGACACTGACACCCATATTTTCATAGAATGTGAAGCAACTGCTCAAAAGAGATCATCCTAGATTAGTAACATTGGCCCGAGAGAAAGAACAGCACCAGCAACATTAAGTTAACTTCTACTTCTTAAAAGAAGGATCAAGAGAACTAAGGAACCAAAAAAAATTTAATATGCTAAAATGATGCAGTGGTCAAGTTGAACCAATTCCTAATATCCTTATCTTCCCCTCTTAGACCCCCACAAGTCCACATCAGGAAGAGTTTATTCAGAAATCATGAGATGCGGTCTGCTGTGACATATGTTTCAGAAAAACATTTTCTTTATCGTGCCAACATTTCGATCTTTATTGAGATCATTTTCAGGGCTCAAAGTGTTTGTTTTCTGCGTAATTGTGTGCCCTGTGTTGTCTGCACTCTCAACACGACACGCAAGAATGGTACAATTACGCAGAAAACAAACACTTTGAGCCTGAAAATGATCTCAATAAAGATCGAAATGTTGGCACGATAAACAAAAGTTTTTCTGAAACCTACGTCACACCAGACCGCATCTCACGATTTCCGAATAATAATAGACTAACAGTCACTAATCACCACAACTTTTCAGTTTTCATAGACTTGTCACATCTACTCGAGGTGCAATGTCGACAATTCAGAAGTGCTGCAAGGATTGAAAAAATTTTGGTTTTTAGCAGACATCTGCCCTCAATTACCTCTGGAGAAGAGGGCAATTTATCTGTGTTCCAGTTTACTAGTATGTTCCAGCTAAAGTAAAAGATGTTCTTAAACCACAATCACGACAAGTGGAAGATCAGATTTACTGGAACTAGAAAAAGTACAGTATCTGCAGTTGGGGAATACTAAACCTCACGTTTCCTAGTAACCCCCTGACCATTATCATTGTCATTGATTACTTACTAGAGATCTGTCAATATTTTTTCTCGAATCCCTATCTATGTGTGTAAGAAATATTATCTTTGAATGCGTAGCATTCACTTAATGGCAGCATAACCTAGGATACCAAGAAGACCTGAGAAAAAGAATTGACAATGACCTACTACTTCCTAAAAGAAAGATTGAATCAATTGAACTGAACTAAGAAACCAGGAAGTTGAGAATACTAAACCCCAACTTCCTCGTATCATCAGCCATGCACCCATTTGGGCAATAAACACTTAATAAATGATTTTTTATGCACAGTAGAGCAAGAGCAAACTAGATGATCTTTCACATTGCTTAGAGATTAAGAGTCTGAGGTACTCAATATTCATCTCACCATCCCTAAAAAGTATTTTTTTATGCTCAATGGTACAAGCTGTTCATTGTTAAATGATTGCAGTTTGCATAATAAAAAACTCAGAGGTTTTAGTGGTGGAAATATTTTATCATTCCGTTCTTTTAAATTATTCCAGTCCGTATAGACATTATAAAAATTTTAATTTGTCTGACATTATGGGGTGGTGTACAAGGTGATCATTTTGTACGATCATATCCTTCTTACAGGTCATGAGGTTGATCCATAACAGTCAAATTATGGAAAATGTAATGTTTTAAGTTAAAATTTAAAATTAAATGATTAATTATTAACCATTTTATTTTGATTATTTGAAGGAAAAAATTCCTTAAATAGTGATTTTTTTTTAAAATTTAAATTGAAGGATATTTTAGTTACCTTTGCTTTTCAAATAAAGTTTTGATCAGGTATTTCAACCCTTGTTAAAAGGAATCTCCTCGAAGCTAGTATGGAGTTTCTACACAACAATGCTGTTCTCCTCTTCTATTGTTTTCAAATTAATTAACTGTCAAAAGTGATAATTAATTATAGCCGTGAATGCTGTACTAAGAACTTGTTAACTACCATAGGCTCATCTTGAATAAACTTTACCACTATAAACCATCCGTTTCTTCTTCAGGTTGTCAGGAGATAGCAGTAGTGGCTATGACAGTGGCTACTCCGGAAGGGAGAGTGAAGCGAGCATGACAAATCCAGATCTACAAGCCTCCGTACCTCAAATTCTTAACAATTTAGATACAATTAGATCGACGCAAGCACATTTGCTGCAATTGTGGCAGCATAAGAAGCTCAAGTTGGACCAGTGTTTCCAATTGAGACTATTTGAACAAGACTGCGAAAAGGTAAAATGTAAAATTATTAATATGAACAGTCATTAATTTTGAACTATTACAGATGTTTGACTGGATATGCCATAATAGAGATGTATTTCTGATGAATTACGTAGAAATAGGACATTCTTATAATTTAGCCAAGGAATTGCAGGATGAACATAATCATTTTACAATGAGTTCGATGGTAAGATGATTCAATATTATAACTAATAAATTACTCTTTCCTTTATTTATTCATTCTTTTTTTTTTATAGAATGTTTACGTAAATATCAATAGGATATTGGCAGTGGCGACAAGGATGATGGAGGGCGGTCACTATGCCGCCACTCACATCAGAACCGTCGCAAACCGTTTGGACAGAGCGTGGAAAGAATTTGCAGCCGGTCTTGACGAAAGGACTGCAGTTTTGGCCCTTTCTGTACTTTTTCACCACAAGGCTGAACAAGTGGGTATTTTTATATAGAATATTTTTAAAAAAATCTGGTATACAGGCATGCTTTATAAACTTGAACACTTTTTACCCACTTCTTCTTACCTTATCCTGAAATTCTATCTGACTGACCCCTGCTTCAGAGTGAGGTGCAGCAACAAGCCTTGTAAGTCAGATATTGGGCTGGTGCAAAAATAATGCAGGTTTTGAAAAAGCAGTCCAAACTATTTTTAATTTTTATAAAACGGAAAAAGTTTATTCCAAATATTTGTGATAAGCAGTTTTATTCTGCTGACATAAAAATCTTTTTTTCGACTCACAATAAGTCTTGGAAGACATTTTCGGCTTACCGTTCGGGTCCTCTTAAAATTTTATCACTCAAGACGTAATCAAAATGCCTAAAAAAGTGGAAGTACGTAGGCTAGAGCTTGGGTGAATATGGAGGGTGTGGTAAGGTAAGGTCCTAAGTCCTTAGTTTCGGCAGGACCTAGGTGTGGCCTGGTATTATTCGGCCCCTTATGGTTTACAAATGCTGGACAAAGACATTGCAGTGTCTCGTGCATTTTGTCAATTAACTGGCAATATTTCTCCGCTGTGATAGTTTTACTATAATTCAGAAAATTATAGTGAACAAACCAACCACCAGCAACAGTCACCATAACCTTTTTAGGGTGCAGATTTGGTTTCAGGAAGACTTTAGGCACTTCAAACTTGTCTGATGCATCCTGTTATTGTACAGAATCCATTTCTCATTGTATGTGATGATTCAATTGAAAAATGGATCATTTTAGTGGCGTAACAGAAGAAACGGGCAAATTTCAAGATTTCTTTGCGCTTTGGTTAGTTCATGCGGTACCAACTTGTCGACCTTTACTTTTCCAATGTGCTCCAGATGGGGAACAACAGTTGAGTGGTCAACACTAAGCTCTTCCTCAATTCTCGTGTTGTCTTACGTGAATTTTCTTCAGTTGACATTTTGAGTTGGTCATAGTCCACAAATGAAGGTGCGACCTTCCCTTCCTTCGAGATCAAAGTCTCCAAGACGAAATCTCTGAAACCATCGTTGCACTATGCATTCACTAATGCTTCCGCCAAACTGTAGTGATGTTAAGCGCGGTTTGGGCCGCACTTTGCCCAAGTTTAAATTTGTAATAATAAATATGACGAAAATCTAGTTTGGACATATTTAATTTTGCGGGTCCTCACTCTCATAAATTATATAAACTTAAATGTTTTGTATAAAAGATAACACAAAAGGATTTATTATAATCTGTCAATTATGATTGAGGATTTAGCTTTTTTTTCATGATGAGCACCTGTGAAAATAAAACAAAGTTTCAAAACCTGCATTAATTTTGCACCAACCCTATATAAGCCAGTGCCCAACAAGGTAGCATTCTTGGTCGAATCATTTTTATCATTTATACTACTGATTTGCCCTCACACTGTAATACCATCATCACCATGCTGCAATTTTATCAACTAAATTGAAGAAAAATGTACTCATTGTACGTTTACATCGAAAAAACCATTTTACTACTTTTTTTATTTTTTTTTAAATTACTTAGGGCTATTCCTAGACAACCCACTGACATGGAATCCCCACAAAAGACGTAAGAGAAAGCACCTTAAGCAAAGATAACTACAAAGCCTATAGGACCAAAATCTGTATTGACCATCTACACTAAACTATCATTAGTGAGAACACTTTAGACAATTTTACTGGAACTGTGGGTTTCCACGAAGCCATCCAATATCCAGAGCATCCAATACTTCCAATAAAAATTCCTGAAACTGGCAAAGCTCCTTATGAAGTCACTAACCTAACTTTCATCAAAGACCTCAACATTTTTGACCTTTGTCTTTCAAGAAGCATCTTGGGAACAGATATAAAGCGTTTTTTAAAAAATAGTTTCTACTCACAGTTTGTTGTTTTCACCCAGCCGTATTTCAAAAGCTCTTCATCAGGATGAAGAAGTCTCTCTCGACGTACACTGTAGGAGTGAACCCGCCGGAATAACGGTCAACGCGACGTTTCAAAGAGCGGTTTTTATTGCCGCTCAATTTTAAACGGCAAAACGCGGGAATTATAACGTCACGAAATATTATCTTAATAAATACTGTCAAAACATAATTTTAAATAAGTGCTTAATTTGTATGCTATTTAAAATAGGAAGTAAATCAAAATCGATTTTATTATTTATGCATTTATCTCATTCACGTTTTTCGCACTTTCAAAATGAGCGGCGATAAAAACCGTTCATTCGAACGTGGCATTGGCAGGGGATCGGCGGCGGGCGGGTTGGAACGTCGCGTTGACCGTTAATTCGGCGGGTTCGCTCTTACTATGCACGTCGAGACTACTTTCAACTGACGATGAGCTTTAAGCTTGAAATCCGTTGGAAACAACGAACTGTGAGTAAAATTTATTTTTTAAAAACACTTTATACCTGTCAAGTTGCAACTTGAAGACAAAAGGTAAAAATGTTGAGATCGTTGAGCTTTAAGCTTGAAATCCTGGTAGTAGGAATAAATTTGTGAGTAGATACATCTTTTACAAAAAGTGAGTCTACTTACCCCACCTGCATCATTTCTAGTAATTATTTCTACTAAACTAGCCCATATACAACTTTATTGCGGCCATTTTGGACTCATGGAGTGGAACTGTGTGGTTCTTCCAAGCCATCCAACATCCAATCCTTCCAAACAAAAAATCCTCAAATTGTCAAAGCTCCTTACGAACCACCTACATCAACCCCGACATTTCTCCCCCCTCCAATAAACTTTTAGTGACTGAGAGTTTAGGTTGCCTGGCAAGGGTCGGTGTTGCTGTGACTGTTGGTAGAGGTGCGTGTCCGAGGGCGCCATTGGCTGAGGCCCGGTGCCGTGGTCAGACAAGTCGGTAGACTCGACAGCAGAAGATGGGACTCGTGCAACAGGTTGTCGGTAGCCAGGTTGGCTGTTGAGAAGGCAAGAGCGAGTCTGATGCTTTGCATGCCCTTGCTGTTGAACTGGTGGAGTCGGCTTGTCCAGGTAGATAGTGGGAGCTCACTAGAGAAATAAGTTTCTCAGGTTGAGACCTCTCAAGGAGACAAATGTGAAGTTGGTTGGGCAGTGCCTCTGCTTATGTACGCATTGCTCCACTCTGATTGGCTGCAGAGTGGAGAGCAAGGCCATTCCTGAAATGGTGGTGATACTTAGTGGGTTCTGTGGTAACTGCAGGTGGTCACCACAAACTGCTCTGTTCTCTTTCGCAAAAGTTTCGAATCTCTCAACCCACCCTAGCCTTATTGCTGAAGCCCTCTCTACACATTCCCATCCCAAGAACCCGCTTGTTGCCACAATCAACGATGACCTCAAAACCTCCTTGTCCTGTAATCCCTCACACTCAGTGCCAGCATTGGCCGTTTTCTCCTCCAGGTGCTTTGCTAGATTTAGTGTTAGTGCTGTGTGAAAAAAACTGTAACATTTGTAATATGTATAAAAAAAATTAATTTTATGTATTTTCAGTATGTCGAGAGTGTAGGCTCTTGGAACCAAGCGTGCGAGACTACAACAATCCCTGCTGAGATCATACTGTTAGAAACGGCTATACACCAACACCAAAATTTATATGAATCCATGTGCCAAGCTTATACTGAGGTAACGTGTGCTTAAATCATTATACAAATTAATTTTATCAATGAAATCAATTTAAAATTGATATTTTATTGCCATTATCGATTTGGCTAATATCATTTTTTGCCAGGGCTGAAAGAATCCAGTTGTTATTACATTGGTGCATTTTAGGCTGTTGCCCATGATCAGATCTACAATGAATTTATGTTAGAACAGTACAAACTCATAGGGAGAGCTCCTGAATTCTTTCTATTGGGTTGGTGCAAAATTAATGCAGGTTTTGAAAATTTGTTTTATTTTCGCAGGTGCTTGCCATTTAAACAAAGCTAATTCTTCAAATCTGATTTATGGATTATAGTAAATACTGATATCTTTTAAACAAAACATTTTAGTTTATATTGAATTTCATAAGAGTGAGGACCTGCAAAATTAATTATGTCCAAACTAGATTTTCGTCAAATTTATTTGTATGAATTTAAACATAGGCAAAGTGCGGCCCAAAATACGCTTAACATCAATTCAGTTTAGGGGGAAGCATTAGCGAATGCACAGTGCAGTGATGGATTCAAAAATTTCATCTTTGAGATTTTGATCTCGAGCCAGGGAAGGTTGCGGTAATGCCCCACCCTGTGGAAACTAAGGACTTATCACACTCTCCGTATTCACCTAATCTCTCTCCTACAGATTTCCACTTTTTTAATTACTTCTTGAGTAATAAAAATTTTAGAGAATGCAGTGAAACCAAAAATGCCTCCCAAGACTTTATTGTGAGTCAAAATGAAGATTTTTATGTCAGCGGAATAAAACCGCTTATTACAGATTGCGAAAGATCTATAGATTGTGTTGGACAATATTTCAAATAATTTTTTTTATAAAAATTAAAAATGGTTTATCAAAACCTACATTATTTCTGCACCAAGTCAATACAGTATTATTTTAAATTTAATTGATTAATTATTTAAAAAAGTAATTATACTTTCTAAAGTGTCTGTAGGTTTAAACTAGCAAAAAAAGAATAAGTGAAACAACCCGGTTTGACCAGTCACTATGTTTTTTCACTCATGCTTGAACATTAAATTAGTAATTTAAAGGAAAGCAATTTCTCTTATACCGGAGGGCTTAACGCTTAACCACCTGTTGGGTGACGCGTGTGAGAGTTCAAACCTAAATTAATATAACATTTGGAATGGTTTTTATCAAAATTATTCAGTTTCATAGATATTCAGGTTGTTCTAGTTAGAATTAGATGCTACAAAATTTGGTCATAATTTGTTTTTAAATGCTTTTTTGAAACCCAGTTCACACCATTAAAAATTTAAATTCTAGCCTAATTTAACAGGAATATTATTTTTTAAAAAATATTTTCGTGAGTGTGAGGAGATTTCAGTTCAAACTCACTGGGAAATAAACAAATGCATAAATGTATAGGTGTACAACTCATATCAATCGCTCCTAAATGGCCTCGACTTGCTGGTGCAAGTCTGTCTCGAGTTTCCAGCTCCTCCGAGTTCGGCACCACTCCTGCGCTACACCAACGGCCTGATTATAGTACGTCTCAAATAAATTTTTCGCTTTTGGAAAAAGGTTCTTTTTAAGAAAACACACACACACAAGGAAAAGTTGGGCATGGTTTACTTTTTGGAGATAGGGTGAACTGGAATCTATGGTCACGAATGTTTCTTTGGAAAATGGCTAATTTAGCCAATCTTATATAAATACTGTACATAAACTTTTTTCTCTAATCTCTCTTTATTTACTAACATTTTTGGTGGCGTTGATTTTTCTACACAGGTCCATAGCACTAGCAAGAAGCTTTTATACCAACTGGACCACTTGGTGCAAGTTTGCAATCAGACTGGAATGGAACATAACAGAAAACATGTATGTAATATACTTAAAATCCTTTTAACTCTATTATTTAAGCCTCTTCAAATATCTCTGATGAAAGCATTGGGATACAAACTAATAGTTTATATTTAAAAAAAATTATTGTTTGAAAGGGAAAATAATTTATTTTACTTCCTATTTTTACACTTTTTAAATTGTGCAAGTTAAAAATTCACCAACTTTTTGATTTTAATTCATGGTAGTTATTGTTTACATTATTATGGCTATTATAAAATTATAATGAAACATTTCAGAAGGGAGAGTACATTTTTTATGGATATTTTTCTTTCCGGGCTTTTTTTTTTTAGTTTACTTTCCACCCATTCTTGTCCGTTTATGCAGGCGGCTGAAGAAATGTTGATCAAATATGATATGTATCAGTTTGTAAAAGTCCATAGTGTTTTTTATGGTAAATTTAGTTACAATTTCAGGTACTTGTAAACAATTTTAAATGGACAATATATTAATGTTCCACTACCTGCTGCCATCTAATTTTGTAATTTCATTGTCACAGGTTGAGCAATGAACTCAATGAGTTTTCTGCAGCCCTTCATATTTCCCCTTTTTCAAATCACACATAATTCACAGGTTCTTGGGGTGTAATCCAGTTTTAGGAGTTGTTAACATTGGATGGCTGTGTTTTCCAGGATTTTTCTTTCTAAACATCACTAAAGGACCCATTTTTCAACCCCATTTATAAATTAAAAATTAATCGTTTACATTGAAGGATACCACAAAAGTCACAATCTCTTTTTCTTGGTAAACGGGTGAGGAATCTCTCACTGACAAACATATTCAGCTGGTCTCGGTTGTGATATATGTTATGTGCGTGATGTCTCTTGTCGTTGAATGTAAACCTTGAATTTTTTCATCATCAATGATTGAAGAGTGACCAGAACACTTTCCATCTTACAAATCATAATTTCCACTCCTGAACCAGCAAAACCTGCTTAAAAAGCTTCCAAAGCATCATCACAATTAGGATCACAAATTTTTCTAGCAGACTGAGCTGCGGTTTTCACTTTATTGCAATAAAAACTTATTAAATGACAATGCTCTTTTCCCCCAATAATTTTAGTTAGTCAAACCCGTCAAATTTTAAGTTTTCAGAGTTTTTAATCAATAATGACTAAATAAACTTTGCTGCAAAACAGAAGATGGATAAAAAATTAAAAAAAGCTATGGACTTGTTTTCCACCAACACTTAAATTTTTTATTTTTTATGGATAATCAGGAATATTATTTATAAGTTTTACTCTTATAACTAAAGTCCAAGTTTGAGAACCCAGTGATTTTCAATATGCTGCAAAACACCCAAGCAATTCTTAATTTTCTTTATTTTGGTCTTTTTTTTATTACATTTTTGTTTTTATAATTTTAGTTATTTTTTATTTATTTATTAGAGTGCGAGACGGAGGGGCAAAACTCATTATGATGTAAGTTCTGCTAATTGGGTTCATGCTGTTTGTTTTTGTTTTGTGTTTAACGAATTAATATCCTTTTGTTTTATCATTCCCGTAATCAAGTCACACCTTCTCGCATGATATTACACTAAAATTGGAAGGTGGAGGTACTTAGAATTAGACTTAAATAGTGTTACAAGTGTGTACTTGCATTTCAGGGGTTAATTAACTGTTCATAATATTGCACGATAATTATAACATTAACTCTTAGGCACTATGTTAACATATATTTTAACCATAGTTGTGTAGTAATAGAATAGTAACATTTATGAATATTTAAAAATATAAGGTTATATAAAAATATAACATCTTTCATTTGTTTGAAATTAAATGTTTTTCTTACTTACTTATAGTATTAAATTATTATTTTATAAATATAATTTTAGGACAATAATACAGCTGGATCTGATACTAGTTCTTCAAGCAGCCGGAGGGGTGGTGGTGGCACAAATCCGGCTGCTGACTATTCAGAAGGCGCTTCGCATGTATTGGCTGTGATACACCAAATTCTCAACCATCACAGGACCCTCGAACACAGATGGCACTCGAAAAAGATAAAACTGCATCAACGACTTGCCCTGAGGCTGTTTCAAGAGGATGTGAAACAGGTGCGATGTCAGATGAACTGATGAGCTGGATGAATATTGTATTTTTTTCGTCAATTGCAGGTCCTTGACTGGCTTTCAAATCACGGTGAAGTGTTCCTACGTAAAAACACAGGAGTCGGTAGAAATTTGCAGAAAGCGCGGGTCTACCAGAAGAGCCACGAGCATTTTGAAAACGTAGCACAGGTAGGACTAGTTCTATCAGACAATTTAATGTAGTCTTATCATAAATGAACTTATAAAAGCCCGATTCTGTATGGTCAGGGGTGTTGGCACTCCCCTAGAAGTTGAAGAAATATAGATCTTTATAGATCATATGAAGCAAAAAAACAACTTTTGGGGCTTCATATGACCTCTAAAGAAGATGTTATCACCCCAATTTGCTGCAGGTGGATAAACATCCAAAACATAGAGTTTATGGGATGTGGGAAGGGACAGTACGACTTGCAAACCGAAAAGATGTTAAGTCAGTATCATTTGGGTCTTCATCGAAGTTCAGGTTCTTCTTTCCTTTGTAATTAGTTTTTAAGTGCAGTCCAGTTTATTACATAATGTAACAATCATAAATATCTAACTCTTAATTTCAATGTCCCTTCCTTTTGTTTTGGCACGAATGTTTTAAATTCTATATCAATCAGTTGAAATTAGAGAACAATGGGCTGCAAAACTGCCTTTCAGCCAAAGGTCATTGATCGCGCAGATACAAAAAAACACCTGTCTACGGTCTATAATGTTCTGATGGGTCATCAATAATAAACAATTAAACAATTATATGACAGAGCCATCTGATCTTACAAAAATTTTAAATTCTCCTTCGAGAAACATTATATTTTATTGTGGCATGTTTTCAGCAATAACTGCTCCAACAAATTAACATTAAGAAAGTTTGAATAGGTTGGTTAAACACTAATTAGAAAATTGTTTAGCCGCTTACAATCATCCTGGTCTGACACGATTTTTCCCCCTTGTCCATGCCTTGCAAATCGAAAAGATGTTAAGTTAATTTGGGTCTTCATCTAAGTTTAGGTTCTTCTTTCCTTTGTAATTAGCTATTAAATACAGTCCAGTTTATTACATAATGTAACAATATTTATTACATGTTTGTTACATAATGTAACACCCTCTTCTCTTTTCGTTCTCTCTTAGACATATATCTCTGTTGCTCTTTTTATTATTTTATTTATTATTGTATTTTTTAATTTATTATTTATTTATTTTTAAATCTTTATTTTTCTATTTTTCCCCTCCAATATACGTCCATGGCATTGACTATTTTTTTGTTTTCCACCCTGTCCAATAAGATACATCTTGTGGGCTGGGGCATGCCAAAGTCCACCATGGTTTTTAGTTGATTCTCTCTTCCTTCCGAAATGCAGTTACACGACAGTAGGACATGGTCAGCGTCTGTCAATGCTTCCCCGTTGCATTCACATGCTAGGCTTTAGCATAACCTAGTCTGTACAGGGGTGGCAGAAGACTGTTGTGGCCAAATCATAGACGGATAATTACTATTAGAAGTCTTCATGGTATGAGGAGTGTCAAAAACCAGGGCTTGGCAGCTATTGATGGTTGTACTGACACAAATGCTTTACTTTTTATGCTCTGTTGCCTTGTATTTTTTTTTGCCATGAAGATCTTACAAATTTTGTTACATGATGCCATTGGCAGTGATGTTTTTACTGTTTGAGCCAAGTGAGCTGCTTCCTTTGCTAGTAGATCGACCTTATCGTTGTACTTATTAATACTGTCGCATTTTACCCATTTCAAATATATTTGGCGCCTTTCATTGTCTAGGTCCAAGAATTTCGGTCTCATTTTTAGGATCAACGAGTCTTTTGTGCGTTGCTCATTTTTAATTGTAGTCAAAACGCTAAGACTATCTCTTAGGTCTATAGATTTCTCAACTTTTGGTTCTCTATATGAGTCGGAGTCCAAAATGGCTGATCCTTCAGTTGTGAAGATCGAGGATATATTAGGCAGTTTTTTCTGAATTGTTATTTCCTTGCTTATAGTAGATGATTGGGTTTTTGGTCTGCGAATCGGTGAACTCGTGTTAAACCGGCACACGGCCACTTACTGGGTCTGTCTCCACACGCGAATTTTTTTTTTTTTGAGTTTTCAAACGCGTTTTGGCATTGCGCATCTTCAGTGAGGAACTTGCCTGTATCCAATACAGCTTCACCAACTCCTCTCTACGATTTAGAGCCATCCGTATTGATGTATGGGCTGCTGAGGTTCATCCAATCACGTAACCGCATTTCACCAATTCTGGTTTGTCTTGAAGGTCCTCAAGAGACGTAAGTATGTTCAGGGCGAATGCGTCAATGTTTGATTTGCCAGATTTGCTTCTCGGGTCTTGAAAACGACCTAAGTAGAACTACACTTGTAGTGGAAGTCATGCAGTACAATATTATACATAATTTCACTAATTTCGTGATTCGCTTGACCAATTAAAGTTTTTTAGTTCAGATAAAAAAGTAAATGGCACGAGCGTCGAAAATCCAATCCGATTACACGACATTTGAAAAATGGCAAAAAGCAGAGAAAATTCAAAAGGTGGGGTTGAGATGAGATGTTAGTGTCCGAGTGGATCGAGGTCACGATAGCTCAAGTGGTAGAGCAGCGGCGTATCTAGCCGAAGATCGTGGGTTCGAATCCCGCTCGTGCCATTAACTTTTTTATCTCAACTAAAAAACCTTAATTAATTGTATTATACATAATACAAATTTTTTGTTGAGGAAGATTTCGAGTCGTCAGATTCCCATATGAAAATTGTTGTCGCAGTTGATCGTGTAGACTATATACATTTATTTATGTTTTGTGTTGCCTGTAGGTAATATTTGTCAGTGGGTAGAGAAAAAAATATAAAAAGATGCAATAAAGCTTGACATTTTTATAAAACGTTCTTTTGCCATTGTTCCACTGACAATCTCGGATTGAAATGAGATAAGTCAGAGCTAATCGGACATGATACGAGTAATGAAAACCCTTGTTGAATCGTGAAAAAGGCAATTTTTGTAAGAGGAACAGGTGCCTTTGATCCGAAGCCGGCCTATGCGCGGTTCAGTCTGGAGGGGGTCGGGCGGTGTTGGCAGAAGGCAGTTCGGTACTTCAGTCAGTGCCCGACTTCAGTGGTGGAATCATCGCTCCGTGTCGTGTGACTGTCATTCCTCGAGATCGCAACAAGACGCGGAATTCCTCGAGCTGTCCGCACCCGAGGCCGCAAGGTATTAATGAGAATCAATGTACCCAAAAAGGACGAGGGTTGTGACAGGGACGACCTACCGGGCCGTTTCCGTTTACCGTCGCCAAGAGACCATCGTCACTCGTAGTACGGTGAGTCCGCAAGAAAGGAGAACCGATGCAGACTAACAGGGATATAGCACATTGTATTTAATTAGCCAACTGCAGTTTAAAAAAAAATTCCCTAAACCCGCTGATCAGATTTTGACAAAAAACCCAAAATAACAAATCTAGGCTTTTGTTTGTACCACAACTCTACTATCACACTTCATAATATTAAAAGACTTAACCTATTAATTTTCTTTACTTTAAAGCCAATCTTTGTCTGGTCGGAACCATGTTGGAACAAAAAAAGAACTTAATCTGAAATCATGAAACGAAAACAATATCGAAAAGGAAACCATCGATTGGGGGATAAGTTTACAAATTCACACCAGTTCAATAACATAATTGAATAAATATAAGAAGAATATAAATAAATATAATAGAAAAACGTAAAAGAGAATATAAATAAAACAGAAGAAGTCTAAAAATAGAGATCGTTTATGTTACCTATGTAAAGTAACAACTATCTTGCCTGACCCGTACTCAAAGGATTCTGTATTGTTAAATACTGTAGGACAACACGACATTTTCCTTTATTTATTGTGTCCACTAGAGATGTTAAATTAATGGAAAATTCTTCCATACCTGTAACTGTCCTTTAAACGGAGGTGTCCCCTGAACAGACACCCTTAGCGAAGGATTCAGTGTGGTTAAGGTCGTCCAACTCGTATTTGCCACGCAATGGGTTCGAATCCTGGTTGCTCATGGATTTTTATTGGTTAATAATTTGAAGTATTGTGGTTTGACCCCTCGTCTCTCACACCCAAGGGTAATGGACGTTTAGCCATGTATGACAGGAATTTCTTTCCTTTTTTTATTTCGGACCTGGAGGTTCGTGCTCTCTTAAATCTTGTTGCAAAGACGCCACGCCATTACACTGTTTAGGTTTAGTCACTTACGTTAGTGGAACCTGGCTCAATGTGAATTTGATCGTTTCTTTTTATAAGATTGGAAAATGTGTAGAGGGCCAACTGAAGATGGCAACATGCTGAAATTCATCTAATTGACAATACTAGAATAGGGCGGACTTAGTCTGCGGGGTGATGGTAGACGTTTTTCGGTTTCTATCCATTTTCAGTGATGGGGTCTGTTGACTCACCAAAACCAGTCAATTTTGAAATTTCTTTTGTAGGTTTGAGGATTGACCTTCGGTTTGAACTTGGCCCATTGCCGATGTCCAGATTCACGAATGAACGCGGCGATTCCAAAACGCGTCCGACATTCCAAAACCAAAGTATTCTCTTTAAATAATAGAAATATAACTTCCTCCAGGCAAACGAAGTATCTGGGAATAATACTAAATTAAAAGTAGTTTATTACATTCATCCTGCTGATAAAAGACGAGTGACAAAATAACAACATCTCTGACAGATCAAAATAGCAAGAATTTATGATACGAAACTATCAAATTCTACGGGTCCTAACTAATCAATAACATTTTTTGCTGACGGCACGGTGATTGGTCAGATGAAGGTGGATCATTTCGGGTGAATTTTCTTCCTCGTTTCGCTAGTTAGTTATTGTTGGTTTTTTCGATGAATTTACGATAAGTCGATTGATACTCAAAAAATTGATAATAAATTTAGTATATTTAGAAGACAGGATATTACAAAATACATGTGAAAGACAAGAAGAAGCAAAATGGTTGAAAAGTGTTGTGAAAATATGGGTCTAGTTATCCGTACAAAACCACACGAATGCCATTCACATCGAGAATGCAACTTAATCTAAAAGTACCCTCTTTAAACGATAAAAATATAACTTTTTCCAAGAAAACGACCTAGGTGGAAATAACGGTACAAAAAGAGAAGAAATTTGTAGTAAAACCTGGAGTATAA